GAATGGGTCTGTCGAGTAAAGCCCCGGGTCCATGAAATTGTAACCACGTCGGCTGTGCTCCATGGGTCCAGGTGATGTACGTCTGTACAACTTGTTCCGACATGATTTGAGCAACTCAGTCATGACTTCACTTCATGTCGACGGCATCACCCAAAACGGCAAGCAAAAGTAAGTCACGTGCAAGCAAGCAAATATCATGTGATCAACAACAAGAGCCGAACACGCCGCCACGGCCTACCATTTAGTCCTCCGATGGTCGCTGCTGCATTTGACGACCGCGTTCCTAGCCGCGAGCCTCAAGTTGTTGATAGACCTTCCATGCCTGCTTGACTTCCTCAATCGGCTTCTGAAGAAACCGAGCAATGGTCTTATAGGTGGGCCTGGAATCCTTGTCTTTCTTCCGTCGCACCATCTCATCCAGCTCACCCTGTGTCCATGCCGTGAAAGGTTCACGGTAGGCATTGCGAAGTGCAATGGTGAATTCTTGTAGAAGTTCCCGAGGACCATGAACCACCGTAGGCGACGGCCGGAATGACGAAGCACCTGGATGCGGACGTACCGAGCCATCAGAATCCGAATCAGGTGTCGTAGGCGATGTCTGTCCTGGCTCTCGGCCACCGTGTGTGGCGAAGGGAGCAAGTGGACGAGGCGGTGGCAGTCGATCCAACATCGATTCGGGCCGAGTACCAGGATTGTGGTCACTAGCATCCCGATGTGCCGCTCGAGGCGGGGATAAGGCCGGTATGTACCAGGTAGATGACGTGTCCACAGGTCGAGCCCGAATTCGTGTGGGAGAACGGGATCTGTCAGACGAGGCGCGCTCCGTGATGATGCGGGGCCGCAACCCATGTCTGGAGTTTCTTGGTGCTCTCGGGGTCACCACAGTGTCTGACGGATGGCTACGCTCAGTCATCAGGGCAAAGTTCAGGGTGTCCAGAGCTGTCGCAACTTGGGATGCAAGGACATTGAGTACTGCCACCAGGTTATTCACAAACTCAGCTGACAACTGCATGGCAACCGATCAAACCGCAAGGTCAACTCAAGCAAAGTTGCAAAGCTGTAAAGCTGCGGCATGGCAAAGATATGGTGCATGCAAACATAAATGTAGCAAATGCTGAGGTACTTTTATCGCTGGTGCTCCGTCACCGTTCATACGACAGACCTGATGGTCGGCAAGCTGGCATGGCCTTGACCGCCGGTGGATACTTCGGAGTGTAAGCATGGCGGCGGGACGTGGGAACCGCATCATCTGGACGGTCTGGGAGCCGTCGGTGATGGCTGCGGGATTGTGTCCGGTGCGGCTCTCGATGCCTAGATCTTCGTCTTCGTCTGTGTTCCCAGGAGGTGCTGACACTCACCGTGCGTACGTGAGCAGGGTGCTCCGCACGGTTGTCCGAGGTGGCCACGAGAGTGACCGGCGCTGCCATAGTCGGGTCAGGATGGCCGTCAGGAATCGGTGGCGGTGGGGGCGGCTGTGGGTGCCGCTGCTGGCCTTCAAGACGCTGCAGTCCAGCCAGAAGTAGACTGATCTGCGATGACATGGCGAGTAGCATGTGCCGGCAATCGCGTAGCAGATCCCCATGATCCATCACAATCCCGGCAAAGATGCGACAGTCAGGGCCAAATCAACCGGTGATCACTAAAAAGCGGCGACGGCAAGCGACACAAGTCATACAACCAATCAAGCAAGCAACACCGTAAAAGGCAACATCGTAGTCCAACCATGAGCCGCAGACAACCCTATGCGCTTTTTCCGGAAGAGGAGCGTCATGATGTACATCATGAAAAGCAGGACACACACCTCGTCGGGTCTGTGGCAAAGTTGTTATATTGTCATGCCATATTTGTTCACCAGAACATGCCCATGTAGCTGGGCACCGCAATCGAAGATCGGAGTTTCCACCTGCCATCTTTGGCGTGAATGCAGTCATAGTAATGGGAAGCAGCTATGTCCGCGTACACTCCGCCACGGGGTATAGTGCAATGCTGTTGCCGGAGACGAGCAGAGCCACCCATGCACACCGGGCGGTCCGTCCGGATTCCCCCGAACTGCGCTGCAGAATGGATTGCCGCTTCCTGAGAATGGAGGCTGCCCCTGCAGTAAAATCCCATCGGAGGCAACCAGACTTCGTTCCAGTTGGAGCATTCACGATTGGGGGAAGGATGTTCTTGCCACTTTGAGGGTCTGATCAGCTCCTCATCACGCAGGATTTGCATGGCCGCCTGCATATTGGTGTTGTGGGACCAGAAAAATGTCGACTGCGATTGGGTGCGATGCTTGTCCGGCAACAATCGGCGTGGCTCAAATGAGAAGATGATCCCAAAGAGGTTCTTCTGCGAGTTCTTTTTGTCCGCGGAGTAGTGGTGAAACGTCCGTGTGGTCCTGCTGATATATGGCCACTTTTCCTCGCAAATGCCGAGCTGTACGATGAGTTGCTGCGGTAGTGACCTCGGGGAGATCTGGAAGTAGTCAGAAATGTCTCTGACCACTTGATCCGTCCAACGTCCCGGGACGCCATGTGGTGGCGGAGAAAACGGAAACTCCGAACTGGACTTGACCCGCTGCTCATCTTCGATGATGCTGCGGCGATGCGGCATGAGGCTCCTGTAGACCGTCTCCCACGATTTCTTCAACAGCTCAGGTTCAGGAAATACTAAGGCGGCAATCGAGGGCAAGGTGTAGTAGAGGACGTCATTCACTACGATGGCAATTTCCTCGATCCGGCAACCAGTGCGCAACTTGAAGCGATGACTGCCCAAATCAGGCACCTGCCGACGAACTGAGAGAGGCACCAGCGCGATGCGATTCTCAGAAGGACTGCCATGAGCAGGAGGAAACG